ATGGCAAACTTTGCCATGACAAAATAGGACAGTCTTTCAAAATTCTCGGCTTCTCAAAATGTTAGATATTCTAGGCCTGTAGGCCAAAGATAGATACCCCAGCATTACAAAAGAAATTGGGTGACTGTCAAGGCAGCCAACTATTTTTGTCATTTTTTAATTTTAGAAGTCACCTGCTCTTCACTTTTTGTTTCATCAGGTAACATATCCTTCTAAGGTCTTTGATGGAGTTGAATACTAGATACTTACAGTTGCAATTAGGTAGGAAACTCTGGACTCTTCAGGAGAGGACAGCTGATGGAGCATTTTCTCTATTTTTCCAAATACAAATGGACTGGATATTGTAAGTCTAATTCTTACTTGACACTGTTTTTGTTATATATAATTTTACTATGTTAAAGTTAAAACCCTCCTTTTAAATTAGACATCAAAGGGGAAATGTGAAGTATTCCTTTACACTATGTGAATTTATTTCCCTCTAAGTGGGAGTAATTGAGTTAATAAAGAAGCTGACCGGCCAATAGCTGGACAGGTGGAAGTTAGGTGGGACTTACAGAGAAAAAAAAACACAAATAAGAAGAGGAGGAGTCTGAGAATTGCAAAAAAATATGAAGAGGAGATGAACTTGCCATACTCAGAAAAGGCACCAAGCCACGTGGCAGAGTGTAGATGAGAAATGTGGGTTACATGGGAGACCGGTCCCTTTCTGAATGGGGATAGGGGAGGAGTGGAGGGGAGGAGGGTAGATGGGAAGGAGTGGGACAGGGAAGAGGGGGAACAGGGACTAGAAGAAGAGGAAAGAGGGGAAACTGCAGTCAGTAAAATAAATGACAAAAATGTTATTTAAATAAAATTTTAAAATATGGCCTAATTTTAAATATAAGAGTTAGCTAAGAACAAGCCCAAGTTACTGGCAGAGCATTTACAATTAACAATAAGTCTCAGTGTGGCTATTTGAGAGTAGCTGCTGGGACACAGGGACACTCTGCCTATATCACCCTACAGAGTAAAAAACAGTTTCTGGACTTGGAATCCCACAAATCTCCACCCTGGAAAACTTCATCCTTTAAAGTTCAACCCCTCCCTACTCCACCAGTGGAGGTGTGTTTGGGGTGGGGGGGTGCACAAACCCTTTCTTCTGCTCAGTTCCCTGCTATTTCTTGCCTGGGCAGAGGCAGCCACCCTCCTAGGTTTTTTTTTCCTCCCAATAAATCTCTTATGTGTATGGAGTGACTTCGTGGTATTTCTTGGCTTCCGACTCTTAGGATACTATTCCATCTGAGCTATAAATAACACTTATATTTGACTCTCCTAGTGTCTGCATTTGCCCTCAGGGGACTAAGATGCATTGGGACCCTATCCCTCATCTCCAGTTCACCTCCAACAGACTCCCTTATGGCTCAGAACACTATCCACCAAGAGCAATTAGGTAAGTTTCCCCTTTGGCCTATGTAAATATTTCTCTGAGTCTGAGGAAGTGACCATTGAGTGTCTGGGACCCCTCTGGCACTCTTGGACATGGAGGTACCCCCAGCCCTTTATTTTTATTTATTTATTTATTTATTTTTGGTTTTTTTCGAGACAGGGTTTCTCTGTGGCTTTGGAGGTTGTCCTGGAATTCCTTTGGTAGTCCAGGCTGGTCTCAAATTTACAGAGATCTGCCTGCCTCTGCCTCCTGATTGCTGGGATTAAAGGTGTGGGCCACCAAAGCCCGGCCTACCCCCAGCCTTTTAAATGTTAGCATATCTTTCACATCTTAGTATTTTGTGATATAGCTACTGGGCCATAAGTTATGTCACAGTGCTTTCTAAGGTTTTACCAAAGTAGCTGTACCAATTTGTTTCCATCAACAGCATATGAGAATTCTGCTCACTTTAAATCCTCACCAGCATGTGATAGTGCTAGTTTTAAACACCATGTAGGTTTTTAATAGTGACTCAGTATGATTTTCATTTCCCTAGCAATATATTTGATCTTTAATCAAATAAGTTAATCAAGTAATTTATATTTGATATTTCCCTAGCAACTTAAAAATGTGTGTACACATTGACAAACATACATTTATTTCTACATATTCTATTTAGATAAAAACTATGGATGTTTTCATTGTATGTTTTTTTGCTGCTAGAATGTAACACTAGAATTTTTTATATAGTCATCTTGAATCCTGAGACCTTCCTAACATATTAATTAGTTGTGGTTATTGTTGGGGTACCCCGAATTGAGGAGGGTCCCCAGGCTGGATTTGTCACCCCAAGAATCAAGAGTCCATGCGCCAATTGATGCAACATGCAAGAGGCTTTAATTAGGCATCTGCAGATGGGCCTCTCGGTCAGCTTTTAGACCGATTGGCCCCGAGGTTCAGTTGCAATCAGCTTTTAAAGACAAAAACCACAAGATTTTGGGAGGGGTCCTTATCTCGTGACGGGGGAAGTGGGTATGTGACTCCTGTCCCAGGGAAGTAGATGTCCTTCATATCAAACCTTGGCATGAGTTAATTATCTCTCCCTAAGTAAATAGTGTTATCTCCTTGTTTCCCACTAGTCTTGTTTGCCCTGGTCAGTTCTTCACAGATGGCAGCCCATAATTGGCTTTTTGTGGATTTACAGCCCTTCTGCAATTAAGGTTGCTAAACCATACATTCCATTCTGTGGCGATTTACAGCCCTTCTGCAATTAAGGTCTCTAAACCATACATTCCATTCTGTGGTATGGCCGGTTCCTGGGATGGGGTCCTTTGTTCACTTCCCAAGTTCTCTAATGGGGTGCCCTCCCTGTTTAAGCTTATATTTTATTTCGATAAATTCGGGGTCTTACAGTTACTAGCTTCTTGGTTGTTTTCTATAATTCTTTAATTTTTCTTTCTATTTTTTTGTTTGCTTGTTTTTTTACATAGTAAGTACTGAAAGATTAAAGACTTTGTATTAGTTAGCCTTTTGTTTTTGTGATAAGACATCCTGAGCAGCATTAGGTCCAAAGGAGACTTCAATTCCCCAAACTCCAAAAGGCAGTCCAAATATCCAGAAATGGGCTCAGCCTGTCTATAGGAGGATTTCTGGTGGTTAAATAAAAGGCAGTGTCCTTCAGAAACTCGTGAGGCCAGTTCCCCTCAATCAAAAGGAGTCATTTCCCTCATCACAAGCGGAAGGGATAAATTGCTACCTAGGGTATCAATTAGCATACCAGGCTCCCTCAGTATCACAGTCACCTGTAAACACCTTTCAGAGCTCATGCCCTTCTCACCTTAGTTTTAAGTTTCAGGTCTTAAGTTACCATCTTTGATCAATTTACAATTGAGTGCGTGCGTGCGTGCGTGCGTGTGTGTGTGTGTGTGTGTGTGTGTGTGTGTGTGTATGCATGTGTAAGGTGAGAGATAAGGATCTAGTGTCATTTCTACACTTGTGGACATTCAGTTTTCCCAGTATTGTTTGTTAAAGAGCCTGTCTTTTCTCTAGTGAGTATTTCCAGCACTTTTGCGAAATGTAAGGTGGTTGTAGCCCTGTGTGTTCATGCCTGAGTCTTCCATTCTGTTCTATGAATCTACACATCTATTTTTGAGCTCATATCATGCTTTGGTTTCTCTGGAGTGTTTTACTGGTTGTTTTCTTCCTAGGGTAGGTTAATCTAGGTATTTTAGAGGAAATTTTGAATGGGATTGTTTTCATGATTTCTTCATGTTATTGGTATACAGGGACAGAGTTTTTATGTTAATTCTATATTCAGTCACTTTGCTTCAAGCATTTATCAGTTGCTAGAGTTTTTTGATGGAATTTTTAAGGTGTGTTATATGCAATCTACACAATCATAGAACTTTTGCTGTTATTGTTGTTAACTGATGACTTAGTCCCATGTTGGAAATAAGTGATTATGTTCCAAATGTTAAGGGAGACATGATCCAAATTCTACTCAGTGTGATATGAGCTGTAGATTTTTATCCAGGTGTCTTTTATTTTACTGAAGAAGTCCTTTTTAATCTTAATTTTCTAAGTGAGTGTATAAAAAACGAGAGCTCTTTTCTGTCTCTTTGGTGACTCTATGGCTCCTGTTTTAGGGTCTGTTGGCATGATTAGTTATCTCAACTGGTTTGTGAACATTAACTTTCATTCCTTGCGTTAGGAATAAACTAAAGCTTACAACGACAAATTTCTTAAATATGTTGTTGTGGGGCTCAATTTGCTAATAATGTTTTTTTTTTTTTTTTTTTTTTTTTTGGTTTTTTCGAGACAGGGTTTCTCTGTGGCTTTGGAGGCTGTCCTGGAACTCGCTTGGTAGTCCAGGCTGGTCTCGAACTCACAGAGATCCGCCTGCCTCTGCCTCCCGAGTGCTGGGATTAAAGGCATGCACCACCAACGCCCGGCTTCAATTTGCTAATAATGTTATTTTTGTTACTTTTTTATATTAGTTTGGAGATTGAGTTTGTCCCTTTAAACATTTTCTCTTACCTCAATGCAGTTATCTCTTTTTGAAGAATTTATCCTAATATTTCTACTTAGTCTTCTGGGACAAAGCACAGGGATCTGAGCTTTGCTCCCTCCACGCTGTCTCCCCAATGGGACAGGCAGTCTGTTGTTTCAAAATGTAGATACATATCCATGTCCCCTGAAGATAAGGGACCGGGTGATAGGAAGTACAGAAATACTAAACCGTAAAACTTTTGGAAAGATTAAGGAATTTTAAGTTGCAGGTCTGTTTTCCCACGCTCTGCCAGTCTCTCCACTTTGCAAAGGACTTAATCAAACTCAAGTTCTTCACGTGGCCTGACGGAAGTCTCCAGACCAGGTAGCAACGGTCATGTAAAGGGGGCGACTGCTTAGACAAAGCGTGTTGGGAGGCCTTTCAGGCACAGAGAGGCGCACACCACTGATTCCCTCCATTTAAAAAGCCCGCGGGACACTGCGTTACTGCGCGCAGGCGCAGGAGGAGGGAGCCCGCGCCACTTGGAAAACCTTGCCCCGCCCGGAGGAAGTGGGCGGAACCCGTCGTGGCGTCTCATTTGCTGCGCTCCCTCAGTACGCACTGACGTCACTTCGCCGCGACCCGGAAGTGCGCGTGTGGCGGCTGCCGGCGGGTAAGCAGGCCCTCGGCGTGGGAAGGCTGCGTTCCTGACGTACCGAGGTGAGCCCGCCGGTACCGCGTGCGCAGGGGGTCTCTTCACCGAGCCGTGGGCGGCGGCCGCGTCCCAGGGCGGCTTCCCGGCGGCTTTTAGAGTTGGGTTGGGCGCGAAAGCAGGCGTGTCTGACACACGTGGCCCGCGCCAGGGTGGCTGCTCCCGCGGGCCGGCACTGAGGTCGCGCAGAGGGAGAGAACTGCCCGGGTATCCCCGCCAGGTTCCACCTTTGGAGACAGTAGCCCTGAGGCCGACGGCGGGCGGGGAAGGAGGGTGACGAGCCCGTGTTAGCAGTGTCCGGGCGACCTGCCGTTCCTGCCAAATCTAGTATTCCATTTTCTGGGACTTTCATCCCCGCCTGCTGCCGACAGAGCAAAGGTGTCAGGAGCACAGAACTTGGTGGCTGCCCTCCGAGAGGTGCAGTGTGCTCTAAAGGGTGGCTTCCAGGTTCTTATCCGGAGAGATGAAGTTTGCGGGGTGAGCCGTCCGACAGCATTCGTTCGCCCTCATTGTGAAGTGTAATTGTGTTTGCCTTGTAGATGTGTTTAGTGACTGTCTCCAGATGCACAGGTGCCTGTATCCTTGGCACAGGCAGGCCCTGAGCTGTAGTTGGAGTAGGTTGTGCCTTCTGAAGCGATACCTATTCACGATGAAGTTGCAGTCTCCAGAATTCCAGTCACTTTTCACAGAAGGATTGAAGAGCCTGACAGGTGAGAGGCTAAGGTTGCCCTCTGTGTTTGGGAGTTGTCCACCACAGAGAAATAAAGGGGTGACATCTTTTAGCCAACGTTGAGATAATTCTTGTGGGGCCAATGAAAGAAAGGCCTACATTGAAAAATCGTAAACCCAGTTGCTACAAGTGGGGAGTTGACTGCAGCGTGAAGCACAGCTTTTCTATGCCTCTAACAAATCTCATTCATTAACCATACATTATGTAATGAGATCCAGCACCTCTAGATGTGTGTTCTCCTGTGTGGAAGAGGAGACACGTGCTTAGAAAGTGAAGTTCCTTTTCTGGCTCCCAAATAACTGAATGAGTTGGATTTTATTTTATTTTATTTGTTTTGGTTTTTCGAGACAAGGTTTCTCTGTGGCTTTGGAGGCTGTCCTGGAACTCACTCTGTAGACCAGGCTGGCCTCGAACTCACAGAGATCCGCCTGCCTCTGCCTCCCAAGTGCTGGAATTAAAGGCGGGCGCCACCAACGCCCGGCCGAGTTGGATTTTAAATTTGCAGTCTGATGTCATCCAGTTTGTAAACAGTGAAGTTACGTTTTCTTCCTTTGTAAATTGCTTTCTGAGAGAATAGAAGGAAATAAAAATGAATTACTCTTTTTCTGCGTGTGCACCTATGAAGCTTGTCTGGGAGGCAGACAGAGAATTGCTCTGGCTACAGTTTTATCAGTATTGGTCTTTAGTTGAGCAAGTGATGTTGAGGCAGCCCACAGTTACGATTTAAAGCCTGTGGGTATGATGGGAATGGCTTCCAGGAACACACTGAGTTGTGTGGGTGTGTAAATCACCCAGGCTGCACTTGAGGTACCTTTTCATTATTGGGGATGAGCAGGGTGCATGTTCTCATGTGTTCACGTCAGACTACTTGTAGAAGTCTGTAGTCCTGGTGTGCCAGGAATGCACTCAAGACATCAGGCTTGGCGGCAAGTACTCTTACCCCCGCAGATATTTGTCTCACAGGCATTGTATTTAACCTTCTGTAACTAATAAGCTCTCATAGGAATATGGTTTATGTGAAATGTAGGATATATGTAACCACATAGCACGTCTCTGTTCAGATTCATACATTTCCAGTGCTCGGTGCTGCTTGAACAGTGCAGACCTAACCTGTTTGTCTTTTCATGTGCTCTTCCAGCCCTTAGCTTTCCCATTCTCTATTGCTCCTCCCTTACAGAATCAGTATTATGGTTTCTTGAATATCTTTTTAAAAAATACTTTAATTCTTTGAGAATGTCTTCCAATTTGAATACAAACACTCTAATACCTTCCTACTCCCTGGACTTTTGTCCTTTTTTTTTTTTTTTATAACCCATCAACTTCATTTTGTGCTGCCCATGTATTCCTAGGTGTAGGGCATAGTCAGCTCAACTTCTCAGGAGTCACCCCCTTAAAGCCTATCTCACTGCTCTCTGTAAGTAATGTCTTTCCTAGTCAATGTTACTGGACAGGAAGTTTGACCACTGGCCAGTGAACTGGATTGAACAAGGTGGAAGGTGTTTGGAGTGAAGTGCTCAATGCAAACGAAGTTGGATGAAGTAAACTTCTCGGAGACTTTGATGTAGTAAAGTGTGAGGCAAAGATAAGAGAGATGAAACAAGTTAGATATGGGAGCCTTTATGTATTGTGCTGTAGAATTTGGACACTGTAATGCAAATCTGTAGGAAGAGGAATTGCCTAGTATAATTTACTCTGTTGATTTAGAGTAATTCAGCTATGGAGGCTGGATTTTAAGGGGCCCGAGGCTTGGCACTAGAGCAAGCAGAGTTTAGAGGCCTGATTTAGGTGCTAGAGGACGTAGATCCCAATTTGGACAATTTTTCAATTGTTTGGCACATGGACCTATCCATTAGTTTTATGAAAGTTGTGAACATGATTTTTACATTTTAAAGATTCTTAATAGGGGTTTTTGGTTGGAAGACTTGATTGGAAATTAAGGAAGCCTGAACCATTTTTGGAGAGGGCTCATGGAAGTGGTATCTTGTTCAAGAGCCCACATTTGTTTAAGGCAAGATTGTTTAGTCAGGCCATTTTAGACAATCTACAAAGTGAGGCTGATCAGCTTGAGTGAGTGGGTGGAAGAAGAGTATGGGAGAGAAACAAGTTGAGGATTGCAAAGCAAGTTGAGTTGTGATTAGGGGCCAGGTTTAGCTGAATGCATGAATCCCAAGGACATGCTAAGCTACTCCTTGCAGTAAAGGAAGAATACTACCCATAGAGCCCTGTGGCCTTGGAACAGAGGGTTTTGGAACTGACTTTACAATGTTGGGGTCTGGATTAGTTTGTTTTGGAGAGAGTTTGAGAAGTGGGATCTGAAGAGGATTGTGTGTTCATTATGCTTTGGTTAGCAACGTAAAAACCACAGCTTTCATTTTAAGGGGGCCATTTGAGTGTCCGGAGCCCTGAAGACAGATTTAGGTTACCTCAAATTCCATGTTTCAACATGAAAGTAGTTTCATTGGTTTATAGAACAGAGAAAGTCATAAATCAGCACAAGTTTAAAATAAATTGGTATGGTACATCAGAGAGGTAAGTACAGTAAAATGAGCTGTTCTATAGGACTAAATTGCTATCTGCTGGCATTCTTCCTTTTGGATTGCTAAAAGCTAGTTGCTTGCAAGGTTATCTTAATTTGTAGCTAGAGAACACAGACTAAAACTGACTGGAAAGTGGGGACAATCATTCATGAATTGTGTGCAAACATGCCTTGCATAGTTTTATAGTTGGTATAGCACAAATTCAAGCTGTTTCCAAACAATATATGCAGTTTTGGTTTTTAAAAGTTCTTGGCTATAAGATTTATCATCGGTTCATACTGTCTCTACATTTGTCCCAAAGAAATAGAAATAGAACAAATCCCATTCTAAAGCACACAAATAAACCACAGAGAAGCAAGGAGAATTTTGTATTGCTTGCTTTCCTGTTGAAATTCATGCTTACAATGATGATCTTAAGGCATCTTGGAATTCTGAACTATCTGCTGGATCAGGAAGAATTTCTCAGAGTTATATTTCTACAGTTTTTAGGGGCAGTCTACTGTAGGAGAACCATTTTAGACCTTTTTTTTTTTTTGAGACAGGGTTTCTCTGTGTAGCCCTGGCTGTCATGGAACTTGATCTGTAGACCAGGCTGGCTCAAACACAGACATCTCCCTGTGTGCTGGAATTAAAGGCACACACACCACTGTGTAGCTATTGTTTCCATTCTCATACAATACTGCTCAGTTCATTGATGTCTGCTTTCTGTAAGAGACGACAAGACCTTATATGAGTTTTAATCTTTAATCACGTGTGCTAAACAACAACAAAACCTTCTTTCTTAGAATTGTTTGCCAAAGAGAATCATGAATTAAGAATAGCAGGAGGAGCAGTAAGGGATTTACTAAATGGGGTGAAGCCTCAAGATGTGGATTTTGCCACTACTGCCACCCCTACTCAGATGAAGGAGATGTTCCAGTCAGCTGGTGTTCGCATGATAAACAACAAAGGAGAGAAGCATGGGACGATCACTGCCAGGGTGAGTGAAAGCTCTGCAGATTGGTTTCAGACAGTATGAAATTTTTAAAATGTCTAAGTAGAAATGTCAGTGTCTCCTATCCTCTGAAATCTCACACACTTCTCCATTGGAACTACTTATTATATCAGTTTGCTAATTACCTTACTTTTACAATTTCTGAGGTAAAACCAAGTAAGTCCTCTGTTGTACATTTTGTTTTACATTTGCAGGTTTAAAGGTGATCTTCATTTCTGTGAATCAGCTACCTTGCCCCCCTCTCTACAGCAAGCCCATATAACTCCTCTTTCCCCGTCATTCCAGGGTATTATTAATACCATAGTTCTTGGTAAATTCAGGATCAGGGTTTATGACTATGTTATTTATAACTGTGTTCTGAGTATATTTTACCAGATAGGCAGGTCTTTCTGGACATATTCCACAAGGGTAGTAGTCATGGGGGAGACCAGCTCTATCTGTGACACTTTGACTCTCATTATATTTGGATGTGTCCCCAGATAGCTATGAATGCAGTCCATCCCACTTGCAGATGACAGTGTCATGTTATGATGGCAAAAGGTTGTGTACCTATCCTTCCATCTTCAGCAATGGCAACCTTCGGTTGGTAGTCTATGACAGTGTGAGCTAGTGCTCCTGGTGCTGTTAAGAGTTTTCATTAGAGATCAGAAGTCTGCAGAGTTGTGTGCCAGACATAAGCTCAGTTGTATATTTTGAAAATCAAATGGGGAAAAGGACAAGTCTTGTTGATTTCCACTCAATCCTGGTTTCATGTGCCTCATTTCTACTATCAACAGTTTCTGGTGCCCCAAATTTTGATTATTTTTGGTCCACCCTGGTTTTGTATAGCAAGGGAAAGTATAATGTTTCTGATAATAATTTTACAGTTTTCCTACTTCAAGCCTGTTTCTTTTCCTTGAATCTATAATTGTATCTCAAGAGCCTTAGTTTGTAATGGGACTCTAGGTACAGCTTTGTATCTGGAAAAGTATGTGAAACTGAGGAATGCTAGAATAAACTTCCTAATGCAGAGGTGCTAAACTCCTGTTTGATTGAAAATCTCTGTGCTTGACTATTGCTAATACACCATTTGTTGCTGCACCATTGATCATGATCCAATGAGCCTGCATTTGAAATGGGCTTCTTCCCATGTCTCATGTCCCCATCCTTTACATCATGTGACCAGCCTTTGTAGCTGGAGGGTCTCTTTCCAGGATACAGTACTTCTTTCAGCAGCTGCTGCTCAGTGGTGTATGTTCCAGAAACTGGTCTTTGCCTCTCTGCAGACTGGAGCTGTTTTTTTTAAAATAACATTTCAGAGAGTAGCTTGCTCTGAAATGGAATAACTGGAATCCGATGCATTGAGTGCTCTTTCTTACCATCCCACTTCTCACAGCTGGATGTTTGTCTCTGAAATTGGTCTTAATTACAGTGGGTATTTTTAAGAAACTGTTCATTGGACTTTTTAAAATTTTATGTTTCTATAGAAAGTTAAATGTGTAAACTAATGGACTTTAAAAGACAAAGTAGTTGGCAGGTATCCCAGTACCCTGCCTTATGAAGACAATTTTTAAAAATACTTGGTGATACTGAAAACTAATTAAAAAGAAAGCAAAAAGTTTTGTGGGGATGAGTAGGTAAAGATGCCTGCTGCCTAACCTAACATCTTGAATTTAGTTCCTAAATCCCCCAGAGTAGAAGGACACAACAGACTTGGGTAAGTTGTCCTTGGCTGTGGCATATACACACACTCATACATGCTAAAATTTAAAACAACAAATTTGTGTTTAATTGCAGCTTCATGAAGAAAATTTTGAAGTTACAACACTCCGCATTGACGTCACCACTGATGGGAGACATGCTGAGGTAGAATTCACAACTGACTGGCAGAAGGATGCTGAACGAAGAGACCTCACCATAAACTCTATGTTCTTAGGTAATCTCTTGAGAAAACAAGACAGCTTTGAATTCAGTCTGTCAGTGTTTCCTTTCCTTGGTAAACTTGTGTTATGGAAACATTGGCCAACTTTAAAGTTGCACTAACTTAGGAGAGCCAGTATATCCTGCTGGCTGGAGCCAATATCTCTGGGCTCAGATTCTGTGTTACTTGCTAGTTGGAAACTTGCATGTTTCTGCCAGTTTCCTTTGTTCTACTATAGTGAAGATTAAGGGAGTCAATAATTGTCACTGCTTAACAGTCGTGCCTGACACATGTGCACATTCAGTCTGTTAACTCACTGTACCTAAACAGTGCAAGAAAAATGTGTAACAAATATCCCATATTGTATCACTCACTCTCTGCACTGTGTTTTATACATGTGTCCACTCAATGTTGTATAGACTAGCAGATAACTATCAAATCTTTGTTACTGACTCTACATACAACCTCAAAATCTTTGTTAGCATCCAGTCGTAGGTAGCAACAATAGAGTTGCCATAGATAATGAAACACCTGTCAGCTTTATCTTCTGTGATATTAAAAGTGAGGAGAAACAGTCAGGATGGAGTTCATCTGCTCCAGCAATTTTGTCGTTTAAATTCTGCACAGTCTCTTTGTGTTTGATTATTGCTTCAGAGCTGAGAAGTAAGTTTAGGCAAGAAGGATATATAAAACTGCAGAATGCTAAGTGCTGTAGTTCAGGTTAGTGAGTGATGGTGGGGGCTTCCACCTAGGCATTTATGACAGTAAGGAGCTCAGATAATGCTACACGCACACACTAGAAGTGTTTGTTTCTCTTTACTTCATTCAAACAAACTACTTCATCTAGTTTAGCAGTCTTGTCCAACAGGAATATTTTCAGTATAATTCACTGAAACAGAAAAATCAAGTCTTTAAAAGTGGTATTTTACATAAAACAAAGCTATTCTTGCTGTTTTGCCAAGTTTGCTGAGCTTTATCATGTGTCCAGCATAGCTATAGGCCCATTATCAATTTAATCTGCTCAACAACTCTATGAAGCCATTTAACTCATGTTAAGATGCCTAATGTGTAGCGTGTAAATTGAACAATTAGGATTCCAACTGAAACAGCCTGGCTCCAGAGGCCATGCATGCTCTTTGTAGCTTTAGGATTTTGTTTTTTTATTTTTTATATAGTAATCAGAGCAGAACAATGATAACTGCTTGCATTAGCTTAGTTATCTCTTTCGGCTTCTTTCAAATCTCACTGATTCAGGCATTAATAGTATGGATTAATAGCTGGTTACTTTGCTTCCAAAGACGCCCCCTTTGTTTTTGCAATAGCAGAGCTGAAAATGAGGTGCTTGTACATGGTAGCTGGGAAAAGAGTCAGCATCCTGCCAATCTTGTATTCGAACAGGATCTTATGAAAATACACTCTGTAGTCTCATTTTGCTTGCCTAACATTTTCTCTCATTTTTTTTTTTTTGTGTTTTTGATTTGCTTGTTTTCCTATGGAGCTTCTTGAAATTGTCATATAAATCAAGATTCTTCTAGTACATGAATTGGTTTATGATGTATTGACCCAGAACAGCCTGGAAGTACTGAAAAGATTTAAGTTTTAGCTTGCCAGTGGTTCTCTTAGAATAATCAAGCAGTATTTAATGTGAAACAGCTAAATTGACAGACACTCATTTTCCAAATGAGGTAGCACTTTCTCTTGTTCCTGATGGCACAGAGTAGAATATTTCACAGGGCCACTGGCCAACATGCTTAGTTAAGTGAATGAATGCTTTCATTTTCTTTTGAGTTCTTGCGGTAAGTTATCTATGTCGTTTTGAGATTTCCCTTGGAAGGGGAATCAAGACGAGTGGTTCACTCTAATACTGTTTCTAAGCTAGTAAGAGTAGTTTGACTAAACTCTTTCCCAACTTTTTAGTGACAGAGGCATCAGTGGGTCTTGTTACATATGTGTGTATGTGTGTGATTGCATCATTACCTCACAGAGTCTAGTGTCGAGCCATAGTGCCTACTTTGTCAAAGCCTATTGTTATCAGACAGATATTACCCAGTGTGAAAGAAATCTGACAAGTCTTTCAAAAACTTGTGACCAAGGTTGAAATGTTTTAAGATTTCTGGATTTTATTTATATGGTTTATGCTTTTGAAGTTTGGGTATGTGTTCAGGCCATCTTAGAAACCCTTCTCTTACTTTCCTAAATGTTAATAGGTATTTTACCATCTTGTGTCTGTTTATTTCAAAACAGCTTTTGCATATTAGGGAAATGAGTCATTAAGTCTCTTTTGGTACAGACATTTTTCCCAAATTATTTAAGCTTGTAATTTTCTGCAAGATGCTTTCTTTTCTTGCTAATAAGCATATTTATATTTTCATATTGTTTTAGTCTACTATGTCTGTTACTGGGCTTTTGTTTAAGATTTGTTGTCTTATATCTGAGTGTATGCAAATATGTGTATACATATGTATGCATGCACACAGAGGCTGGAAAAGGGTACTGAGTATTCTCTATTACTCTCCACCAATTATTATTTATTCCTTTGAGGCAGGGTAGCCTCATTTTAGGAATATGTTTAGAAGATTATCTGTTGCTGTTGATGTTCTGTATTAATAAGAAAATCCGTTTGTCTGGTATCTTCCCCTCCTTCCCACTTTATACAAGTATTATAAATTGGTTTTGTTCATTTTTAGTTCTTATCCTTACTGAATTTTTACTGTGTGTGGTAGTTAACAGATGATACTTTTTCCTTCATACTAACCATTGCTAATGATTTTTCTTCTTTTCTAATGAATAGGCTTTGATGGTACCTTGTTTGATTATTTTAATGGTTATGCAGATTTAAAAAATAAGAAAGTTCGATTTGTTGGACATGCTAAACAGAGAATTCAAGAAGATTATCTTCGGATTTTAAGGTATTTCAGGTAAGAATTTATAAATTTTAGCAATAGAAAATTTGTTTTTTTTCCCTTAAGCACTGTCCTGTTTTGTGTGGTGCACATCAGCAGGAATATAAAATGGAAGCACCCAAGTACCTGTCTTCAGGGATGAGGTAGCACCCGTTGGCTTTGACTTTGAAAATATGGGTAATTAAACCATTCTTTGTGCTGTGTTCTATATAAAAGCTTTAAATAATTAATGTATTTCCTTCATTGATCCTGTGGTTTGAGTCCTTCCCATGCACTGTGCTAGGTGCTCTGATCATAGTGAAGGATGATTTAAAGTGTCTGCCTTCATAGAACTTAAAGAATCTGAGATGCTCTGGAACATATCTGATCTGATGCCTCACCACAAAATGACACACTGACAAAAAGAAAATACTGTTAAATGAGTGGTAAAACAAGTCAGTATAAATGTACATACTTCAAAGGGAGGTGTGAAGTGCATGAGCAGATTTGAGGCTAAGAGTGGTTTTGATTTTTGTGATGCATTCTAATTTAATGCACCTATCTGTCTTCAGACATGTACTATGTTTATGATAAAACTTGGTTATCTGTTACTCTATTCTGCAGCAGGGATGAGAATGTCAGCTCTTGTGTATGCCTGTAACTCAGTGCCCACTGACGAATCAGCTGATCCTCAGCTTTAGTTCACCCTTTGACTATACGTGAGATTATGCATTTCTAGTCTTGAGGCAGGGCTTCTCTGTGGCTTTAGAGCTGTCCTGGAACTCGCTCTTGTAGACCAGGCTGGCCTCGAACTCAGGGAAATCCGCCTGCATCTGCCTCCCGAGTACTGGGATTAAAGGCATGCGCCACCACCACCCGGCGCATTTCTATAGTCTTTTGTGTCTAGTCGTCTCTAGCTTTGTCTATTGTTATAAGTGACAGATATTGCATCAAGAGTGGTGGCATATGCCAATAATCCTAACCCTGAGGGAGCCTAAGGCAGGAAGGTCTTGAGTTCAAGGCCACCCTTGGCAGACCACTGTACAACATTCTCAATGTGCTACATATTCTGACAGTTGATCAACAGTTTCTTTTCAAAAGTTAGCCACAGTGAACACAGTAGAGCCGGGGTCACCTCCTGATACTAAACTGACCTCCTCTTCTAGTCTTCAGGAGTCTCCCCATTCCCACAGTGCCTGTACCAGTGTATCTCTGCTTGACTTCTTCAGCTCTAGCTACCTTTGGTAACAGCCATTCTTACTAGAGTGATCCATGTGCATTTCTTTGGTGACTACTGATACTAGACATGGCCCATATACTTCTTGAGCATTTATACATTTTGCAGTTATTTTTTGAATTCTTTCTATAATCTAATGACTCATCTGATGTTTACATTCTGTAGGTTGTATCCTGATAGTTTACCAGTGATTAAAAAAAAAATCCAAATTCTAACCTAAAAAACAAAACGAAACAAAAAAACCTTACTTGGCTGGTGTACATTTGGTAACATTCATTGTTCACTAGTTGGGACCACTCAGAATACTGTGTATCAGAGCATGAATATTTTGTCAATAAATCCCTAAATGAGTATATGCAAATAGTCTGTTAAAAACAGACCAAACAGCAAGACTTTTAAATAGTAATTTTGTTGATCCATTACCTAGATATATACCAGAAAACCCTAGTAAAAATGGAAAAAATACTTTATGTGGTGAGACATACCTATATATAAGTAACAAAACTCTGAGGCTTACCTTGTAGGGTTTTTTTCTTTTTAATGATGATTTTTTGAAAATCTTGAAAAAAAAGTCACATGTCAAATGTCTTACAGGTTTTATGGCAGAATTGTCGACAAACCTGGTGACCATGACCATGAGACACTAGAAGCAATTGCAGAAAATGCCAAAGGCTTGGCTGGAATATCAGGAGAGAGGATTTGGGTGGAACTGAAGAAAATTCTTATTGGTGACCATGTAAACCATTTGATTCACCTGATTTATGACCTTGATGTGGCTCCTCACATAGGTGAGGATAAGTTATACAGTTAATCTGTAATTTCTAGCAACAAAATACCTAGTTTAAAGTACATGAGGTAAAATGTTTTGTGTCACATGGCTAAGGAATTTTAAGTGGGGAAATGAAATTCTAAAGAGAAACTTTGGAATTAAGGATTAGGACAGTTTATAGGTAAAGAATAGTTCATAGTGAACACTTGGATTTGATGAAGCTATGCCCCTTACTGGCTTTGCAAGTTGGCTTGGTTCATCATCAAAAAGGGTTGAAAATAACAGCAGTTAGACTTAGTTAGCACTTCTACAAGAATGGTTAATACAGTAATTATAGCTAATATATTCCAAACAGGAACACAAAATTGCAGAGTAGGGAATGGATGCAGATAGGAACGTGACTGAGAAGGCATCTACTGTGCACTTGACATGACCACAGCTCCTGAGCCTCCTGCTACATCTTGTTCCAGGAAACAAAACATGATAGGGTTTCCTGGGAGTTAAGGGAGTTAAGAGAGTGGCAGATGGGCCAAAAATAAGCAGTGGAGAAGGAACACTATACATTATTTAAAAAGTGCACAGTATGAGACAAACATGAGTTTTATAACTAAAAACTTTTTTTTTTTTTTTTTTGGCCATATAGGTTTACCTGCTAATGCAAATTTAGAAGAATTTAACAAAGTCAGTAAAAATGTTCAAGGCTTTTCACCAAAACCAATGACTCTTTTAGCCTCTTTATTCAAAGTACAAGATGATGTCACAAAACTGGATTTGAGATTGAAAATTTCAAAAGAAGAGAAAAACTTGGGTTTATTTATAGTTAAAAACAGGAAAGATTTGATTAAAGCAACAGATAGTTCAGAACCATTGAGACTATATCAAGACTTCGTTATAGATGTAAGTATGTATTGGGTTTGGTTAGAAAAGTAGTTCTTCATTCACTAACTGCATAAGTAATTTTTTCAGACTGTAGACTTTATGTAAGTATTTACTGTGTCACTTAGTCAAGGGAACCAGATGCAATTGCCCGTGTGTGTGAGCTGCTGAAGTACCAAGGAGAACATGGTCTGCTCAAGGAGATGCAGCAGTGGTCTGTCCCACGGTTCCCTGTGAGTGGACATGACATCAGGAAAGTGGGCATTTCTTCTGGGAAGGAAATTGGGGCCCTGTTACAGCAGTTGCGTGAACAGTGGAAGAAAAGTGGTTACCAAATGGAAAAAGATGAACTTCTAAGTTACATAAAGAAGACGTAAAATGAACTTTCTACAAAACAGTGGTGAGTCTTGGTAAGACTGGGTTTTCTTTCCTTTTGAAACAGCAAGAGTAAAAAGTATAGAAAAACTAATAAGCAAGTCTACATCCTCTTAATGGTTTAACTCTGAATTTTCCAAGTGCTAGTAAGAAAAGTGTAGCTGTTATTTCTTTACACTTGGTGGATGGGTAATTGTTGGAGAACACTTGTGTATGCTAAAATAACTACTTAGTTTTATGTGGTTTTAGCTGTTTGCTGAATCTTAAAATTAAAATTAGTCCATAATGCCATTCATTTTACACCGGACTTTCTGATTTCCTTATGTATCCAAAGCTTAGAATGTTATGGTAATAATTGAAGGTTGGCGTTGAGACTACTGGCTTTGTATCAGTGTCACAGATAGTGAATACAAGTATTTACTAATTAGATATGGCTTAGAATTTGACATTTTATAACTGACTTCCTGCGTAGACACTTGGTGTCCATGTACTATATAAGCAAACAGTAGCTTTTGGAGTTTAACAAAATCACTTGTGATGAAGCCCAAATAAGAGGAAGTTTAATAGGATTATGTTACAAAAAGGTGAGCCTCAAAAACTACTTTACATAGGTTAGTAAATACCTGAATTTTACACCATGGAGTTCCTGCTGTTGTTACTCCACTGTATACATATGCAGGAATTATACAGATGCAATGATACCAAAGCTGCTATGCTGTGTAACCCTTCCTTTAAACAGTACTATCTGCAAGTAATGATAAAACAGTAGGTGCATCATGCAGAACTGCCTCACTTTAGCTTGAGTGGAATTTAAAAAATGACATTGAGGAGTTACATTTTATTACTGTATTCACTATGAATTTTACTTGATTACTTTGACTTTTAAATAATTAAATTGTGTAGGTTTGGACATAGGTATTAGTTTTGGTCAGTTTTAGTTAAAGATGCCCTTTGGTTGCTTTTTTATTTCCTAAAGGGTATAATACCAGAAATATATTTATATTTAATTTAAATTCAAAATGCACATATTCTACTATTTAAAGGGGTCTTACACATGACAGGGTTATCAAATAAATAGTGCAAATACACAAAATGCTATTTTTTTCTGTTCAAACTGCTTATTTACTCTTTAATATTTTCAAAATTTACAAATAAGTATCTCAGACAAGCTAAAGAAAATTAAAAGGACTTTGTTCCTTTCAAAATAATATACACTGCCTTGCCTCTGTCTTGTGCTTGCCAACCTAGCTTCTGGAACATTTATCATTTAGAGCAGTGGTGCCCTTATCCTGTTCCACAGCCATTCTCATCATTTCAAAGGTTTTCCTAGCTTCTCAATGACACATATTCAACAGAATAATTAATGGCACCAGGCTACTAAGGCAGAGACTTCTGACTCCAACTGTATGCTTTAGGCTGCTTTTTCATCCTCTGAACAAGTATGCTCTTGAACTTGGTAGTCAAATGCTGTAACCACTGTACACATACATCAGGGGCAGAGGTGTCTGGGGCAGATCTGACTTGAGAAAACAATTCGTTAGGAAATTATCCCTACAATGCACTTACAAACAAAGTATTACTTTGTCTGGACTTATTTCATCTTCAGTTTCTGGAATTGTGGGTAACAGAGCAGAGCGAGTTAAGCCCCAAAACTTTTGAGGTGACATCTCTTTTTTGGTGGCTGTAAATTTCCATCCAATATGGCTTGCACAAATCTTACACTGGGCAATGGTCCATGCATACCTGTAAAAATGAAAGAAAACGACAAGCTAAGGAAATCAATTTTACCTTTTAGGCTTGCCGTGCAATTTCTCTGAAACTTCATAAATATGTATAACTACTGTGTCATAATTTGATACTGTATTGATACTATAATTTGATAATTTTATTACTACATGCGTCTTTATATTGCTGTTTGCCAAAGACTACATTGCTCCAGCCTTAACTTCACTGTTTTCTATTGCATTATTGTTACAGATGAGGTAGAGGAAGGAGAGCATGGACTCCTCCAAAATAAACTTCTGTTCTCAAGTTACCATTTTCCTCAGGTGGAGTAGTCTGCTTTTAGTGTTTACAGAAACATATTTTATTAGCTTCACAGTAGTCAAGAATGTTAAATAAGAGGACTCTTTTTCAGCTGCAAGTAAAATCCCTACTCCCTAATTCCTTTACCACTTTAAAAGTAAAAGGGTGGCCAGAATAAAGCAGGCTAGATATAACAGGACTTACTGTTTTTCCCATCTCATTATATCCCTGCTTAAGGCCTCTGATCTACATATCAATGGATCAAGCAATAGTTCTAATTACACTGGATCATAAAGTTTTACAATAAACTGCATTTCAGTTTTTTGCCCTAAGAAATGCAGTGACTTACCCCCTTCCTATTCATTTCTACCTATTGATGAAATGAAGGTTAGTTAAAACTATTCCTGTTCTGTTTCTCTTGTATGATTTCTAGAAGCTTCACTGAAGACTAAGCGAAGGAAGAGTCAACAAAAAACAGTGAACACAAACATATTACCCAGGAAACCAGCTGTGTACTGTAGAAGGCCGGCCTATCAGATTCAGGTTGGAAGCTTTATACACAGTCAGTGCCTCATGTACATATCCATGAGGATTCACATACGCTGCCATTGGACCACATAAAGATAAACTGCAACAAAGAAGCAATATGGAGAATAAGATAAAAACAGTAATCCCAATCTTTTCCTTCTTTGGTGTATATGTTTTTAATGTTTGAATTTTGTCTCAAATATAAATACAGTATACAGGAGGCTGGCAGATAATATTTGGTTTTTTTTGAGACAGAGTTTCTCTGTAGCTTTGGAGCCTGTCCTGGAACTTGCTCTGTAGGCCTCGAACTCACAGAGATCCACCTGCCTTTGCTTCCCAAGTGCTGGGATTAAAGGCGTGCACTTCTACCACCCAAAGACATTCTATTTTTACATGAAAATTTTCTTTGATAATTCAAAGGGAAACACACTATTTTTGAAAAGGTCCTGTTTCTTAATCTTTGGATAGTTGGCTGCTTTGCAGACAGTTTCCTTACTTTCTTGATTTATAATCCTACTGAATTTATCAAAATGTTAAACTACTGTGCATTAATTAGCATATATGCAGAGACATACCCTAGTTTGGTCCTGTGTGGCATAACTAGTTAAAAGATAATGCTTGACACACTCATGTCAGAAGATAAACAGCCTTACCCCAAACTGAACCAATTTTCTTTGTTGAGTATAATTTTTAGACACTGGAGGAGAAAGTTTGAAAGGGAAATTGGAAATGTATTGAGAGGTATACTAAAAATACAATAAAAATCTTACCTAAATATTTCATTCTTGGTTGTTATTTCTGTTTCTTGACATTGTTTACAGCACAGGGAAGTACACTAAAATGTTTAAGTGAAAAAATAGGCTTGTTACCCAAATCATGAATAAACTTCTCTAGGGTGAAGCCTAGGATTAATATTTAAGGACTGTAAAATAATTTCAAATTTTCAGGCTGAATATATATTATTCTAAGGTGTACTGACTATGTGTGTACACACACACACATACACAGACAAGACTATGCATATATACACACATATACATATAAGACTTTACTGTCCAAACATTCCTAATCCTCAAAATTTGGAACAGTTTAAAATTACAGAGCATTTAAGACTCAAGAGAAGCTTTATAACACAAACCAGAACAGGTAAACAAATGCTTCTCCAGAATATGACTATATTACTACACAATAGAGGTAACTCCTGATCTCAACAGTGTATTGTGTAACCTGACTGACAATCTACTCAACAGACATGTGGTCTTTACTCACCTTATTCATGATGTCTAATTCACAGCGAAGTCGTTGAATAGCACTGCCAATTTTAAGGAGCTGAATTCTCAACACATCATCAATAGGAAGACAAGCAGCTACTCTGTAAGAAAAGTCTTAAAAGACAGGATGTGTTTTTAGGCTTTAAACTTAGGAATCATTCATATATACTTTTTACTCCAGTTACCTTTCTTATGTCAAGCATATACTTGAATGAAACTGACTTACAAATATAGAGATGACATAAAGCTAAGTTCTGGAGCAGATTTCACTTGTAAAGGCTTTATAAAGAACAGGAAGTGTCTACTTTAACAAAATATGAAGATTCTGTTGCTTAAAATACTAACTTCTTGGGAAAAAATTTCCAAAGCAAAGAGATACAAATGCCTTTTCAAAATTCAAAGTTTAGTTTAAACCAATTAATATTAAAGGCTTTTTCTCCCCCAGTAACATGCCACAGTGTGCAGTACTTGCCATACCTATCGGATTTGCAGGAAGAGAATCATCTTTGAGATTTTCATCCCATTCACGTAACTGTTTCTTTATTCTATCCATTAATGTTTCCTGGTTTAAAATAAAAGTAGCCATAATAAGGTTCAGCCCCTTTAAAAATCATGCATTGGAACTAAATCTGAGACCAGGTGTAATGTCTATTCTTTAAAGGCAGAACTGGTTGACTCTTAACTCCTGTGACTAGCAAGTAGGCAAACTTCCCAGGTGTCTCACCCTTACCTTAGGCTGTCTATCCCAAAGAGTATGTGATTCAAAAAGCCTCTATGCTCTTCTAGGCTGCTGCTTGAACTGGCCTCTTCTGACTTTTCAAGCCCTTTTCTGGCTCAGTGTAAATGATGATTTGCCACTGCATTTGCTGTCTACACACTTCACATAGCAACTGGTTTCTACAGAAAAGTGCTGGCCTTTTGCAGGCATTAACACATTTTCCCAGAGTGCATCTGTACCTTTGTAAGGCTCAAGAGCCGCTGAAGGGCAGAGGTCAACTGTGTTTTCCTTCAGTGATACATACATCATACATGGTCAGATTACTTGTTTTATCTTTCCAGTTCTCTAGATTTCTTGGCAGGGATTCACTAAGAAATATAACTAGCATTTATATGTTTAATGTTTACTATGTGCATAGCTACTATTATACCCATCTCTCTCAAATCACACAGTAACTCATAGAAATTGGGCTTTGAAGGCAGTTATTGTATTCCAAGTCAAGATTCTTCAAGTTATCTAGTATTCTTTCTTAGGGATTTTGTTAGCAGTGACTGTATACTTCTGACACCAGAAGTCTGTGTAGAGGCATCAGTTAACATGCTAGTGATGTAGAGATACATATGAATATACTTGCTTGGAAAATAACTTTGTGATGTAAGAATTCCTAGTTACAGTGTGACTTTCACATGACCCTTCATAATTTCAGTTGTCAAAAATGTGCCATCTTATTTTGCTAAGATAACAGGACTATGAAAGACAAATTTCTGGCAAGTTACTTACTGCATCATATAATGAATATAGCCATCGAGGCCATGAAGTCAGATTTGCACAGTGAAACTTTCTCTGAAACAAAAAATGTCTCTTAAGAAAATTCAAGGAAAAATTTGAATACCATAAATAGTAACATTTAAAAATGATTAGTTCTACAAAAACATTTTCTAATTTAAAAAAGACAATTACCAATAAATTATCTGAAATGGTATAGAGAGACGGCAAACACTTTCAACACCTTAATGATAAGTGCATTCTGAGAAATGCCGGTCACAAATGGCACTCAACAGAGATCAGGGTGGTCTAACTACTCACCTAAACCACATAGTACAGCTTATTGCTTCTAGACTACAAGCTCACATGGCATATTGCTGTACTGAGTATTGTAGGCAACTAAAACACAATGGCAAGTTCCTGTGCATTACAAGCTAAGCTTTAACAAGTACAAAAGAATAAAAAAGTATTATGCCAATATGGGGCACTTAACACAGATGGATTATGTAGAACTGTTCACTGTTCTGGGTGGGTCAGTGGTAGGAAATGGATAGGAATGCCTAGGCTAGTAATGTCTGAATATTGCTATAGACTATATAAAGTATTTTCTTCAGTAATCTTGTCAAAGAAAAATTCTTGAATTAGAGGTGTATTTCAAGGGGAAATGATAATTTGCCAATATTAGGAATTACCACACGTTAGAGACAGACTTTCTGAAGTACCTATAGGCTACACCTCAAACTAGTAGATACTTGAAAAAAAAAAAAATGTAGCCTGGCATAAACTTCCTATTTCAGGCTACCTAAAAACAGTCTGGAATGGTTTCCTATTCATGCTTAGCTCAGGAATCCAGCTTAATAGATTGGAGCAAAAGACTTAAGTCCTCTCCAGTAAGTTATCCTTTATGTCTAAGACCATATCCCTTATGTCTAGGGTTACTGTCATGATTCAATTACAGATTTTAAAAGACGTGTTACAAATAAGAGCAGATGACTGACCACGAATCACCATGGAAACCATTAACATTATAGCAAGAACTTTATCTTTTATTCGAACACTGCATGGCTACTAGAAGTATCTCCATTTTAAAGGTAGGTGAAGCCAGGCATAGGAGGTCATGAATTTGGTAGTGGGAAGTAGCTAGGATGTATACAGAGTCAGTCTTCTCCTAACCACCTGTTCAATGTGCTGATTGTTTTTTATGGAGTTGGGATATTATAAATGGCTAACACAACAAAGTAAATCACAGCCCACAAGGTTTATACTTTGGGGAAGAAATCTTCCTAAAATTAGATATTCTTTAAATTACAAAATTACAAGAATCTAAGAAAAAGTTTCAGGTTAGGTTGCTGACACACATCTGGCTAAGAAGTAAAACATATTTTTCACATTAAGATGATCATTTCTGGAACAATGAAGACATTGTAAAGTGCACTGCAAAAATGTAATTTTGACACACACAAGAGAAACCAGTGTTTTTCCTTAGTATACGAATGGGTTTTGGTTCGTTCCTTTGGAGGGATACTCTCTCAGCCGAGATACACAGGGAAGGGCCTAGGCCCTGCTCCAAAAGATCTGACAGATTTTGATGATCCCCATAGAAGGTCTCACCCTCCCTGGGGAGTAGACGGAGGGTGGGATGTGGGACTGGTGAGGGGAATGGGAGGATGGGAGGGAGAGGGAACTGGAACTGTTATATAAAATAAGATTGTTTTTAATTTAAATAAAAATGAATTAAAAAAAGATACAACATGCTGAGTAGGCATATGTCTATTGGGCCTTCTTTACTGCTACACTGTCAGAATGGGAGAGTTCATAGAACACTTAAGGAAGTGTCAATACTACTTTATGATATCTAGGTAGCTTACATCCATTCAAAGATAACTAAATGTATCCCAGGAAGATCATATTCTCCTGGATCCTTTATCTTTCCTATTAGAAGTGTAACAACTACCTTAAATCATGTTAGCAATCTGCCAACTCTGCCACCTTAATTACTACTCAGCCATCGAAAAAGGACACATCTATTACAGCTGTACTTTGTGGTGGGATATACAAGTGAGTGGGAATGAATTCTATGAAGAGGACTGAACTGACACCAGGTCTGTCTAAACACAAGCAACACATGGTCCATTTTTAAAGTAATCCAATGTCCACCGACAAGTTCAGTATGCAACCTTAGCAGAAGTCCCAGCCAACCATCCCTGCAGCACTTCCCTGTTTTACAGCCTGTATTCTGGTGAACACAGAATGGGTCTAAGGTACAACAGAGTTTACAAGACACCTGGATACAGCATACATTTGCTAGCAATGTTTTTTTTTTTTTTTTTTTTTGGTCTGTTTGGTTTTTGTATTTGTTTTTTTAACCTAGTGATCAAGATTCCAAACTTCAGAACCCTAAGGCCTTCTAAGCTTAAACAAGGAAACCCTTAAAACCATCTGAAAAATATGAGGCTGAAGGCTTTTTTAAAATCTCTTAAAATCTCATGTGCCTCCCTCATTCTTGAGTTCCTTCTGTGAAAGCCTTGGTAACTCTGCTGACAGTCAGGATGGCTACTGAGTGCAAACCTAGGATGACAGAAGACTCAGGAAGTCAGGTGATCTGTCTCCAGATAAGCAGAAGCTTCCTTGCTCATTGAGCCAATGACAATCCACTTGCAAAGGAAAACATTTCTGAATTGAATGTAAACATGCAGATGCACTTTTGTCACAGAATATGAAGAATTTAACTAGTAAGTAACACAAAGTTAAACTTGCCAAGCTGATACTTGCTTAACTGAAGTTCAGGTTTAGAATTTCAAGGTCCTGTGGCCAGGACAGGATTTGTTATACAGAGCCAATAAGTCAGTAATTACGGTTCCTTCCTATACTTACTAATTTTCAAAGAGGAGTTCATTTGGAAAATTCAGGTAGTTAAGAATTCCCATTGCCATCCAAATCTGAATTATAAATCTCAAAATAAGTCCTGCTGAAAAGATGCCAGTCGCTGAAATGAACAGCTGCTGACAGGACTTGTAGGGAGCAAGCA